TTTGAGCTTTAGTGCTCAAGGCTGGCATTCTGCCACTTGAACCACAGCTCCACAACTGGCTTTTTGTGGGTTAATTGGAGAGAAGAGTCTCACAGACTTTTCTGCCCAGGCTGGCTTTGAACTCCAGTCCTCAGAATCAGCCTCCTGAGTAGCTAGGATGCCAGTCCTGAGCCACAGGCACCCAGCTCTTCCTAGATCTGTATAGAACATGAACTGTGTGCACTGTCTTGGAGACAGGCCTCAGGGCTTCCCCGCCCCAGCCCCCCACCTTCCTCCCCACACACATCGGGCTCTGTGGCTGCTTCCTTTATCACCTGCATCCATGGCTCACCTTGTCAAAGTCCTGGTAATGCTCTTGGACTGTTTTCTGCAGAAACGTGATGAACTTCTGGTTGAAGACTTTAAACCTCTTCAGGGAGGGGTTGGGCAGGTATCGGAGGATGGGAAAGAAATCCACGGCATTCCCAGAAGAGGCTCCATCCACGAAGTCCTGGCTGGTGGTGACCACGGTGACCATCTCACTGTTCTGCAGGAAGTTCCCCCCCGAAGCACATGCCACTGATGACGCGGGCCACCGACAGCACCAGATGCTCATAGGGGTCGAAGCACCCGGACTCTGCCGTGAGCTTCTGGAAAGTGTCTGCGAGGCTCTTGGCCTGTCTGCTTGCGTGCTCCTCCAGATAGCAAGATGTGGAGGCTGGGTCCAAGGCTATGGAAAAGCTCTTCAGGGCATCTTGGGCCAGGCGCCGGCGGGCAGCCCACACGGGCCCAGAGTCCGGGTTAAAGGCTATGCTCTGGCCATTGGTCACTAGAGAGAAGCTGTACAGGTCTGGCCGTCCTTTGAAATCATCACCTTGCTTCACCAGGGCCTGGCGGATGGTGTCCAGGCCGCTCAGCACCACCACGGGGGTGGATCCGAGGCGGATCTGCAGGACGTCCCCATACTGCTGGCTCAGCCTGGTCAGCGCCAGGTGGGGGTTCTTCCCCAGGGTCAAAATGTGCCCCAGCACTGGCCACCCCCAGGGCCCTGGCGGACTCTTCAGGCCTTTGGGTACCCGAGATGTGGAGGTTCTGATGGCCCAGAAGACCAGGCCGAAGATGGCGGTCACCAGCAACAGCTCAGTGGCTGTGAAGGAGATGCCCAGCACCTGCGCCATGGGTGCTGCATGCAGGGGGCAAGGAGAGAGGCAGAGATGGAGGTGGGGTCATCATTCATTTGTACATTCATTCATTCATTCACTAGACATGGACACCCGTTCAGAACTCCTCCTCAGTTTCTAATTCTGAAGCTGGAGTGGAAATAAATGATTTTTGTGGTTGTTGTTGCCACATGGACTTTCTTGCTCCAGCTGGCTTCAAACCATGATCCTCAGATCTCAGCCTCCTGAGTAGCTGGGGTGACAGGTGGGAGCCACCACCAGTGTCTGCTTCTCTGCGTCTTGGAAGGTGAAGTAGCATGTGCCCAGGGCCAGGGAGTTTTCAAGCACTCTGCCACTAAGCCACATTCCCAGCCCGGTTATGGATTTTTCTAGTTCTAGGTAGGCCTTTCTCCCCCTCTCTCCACTCTGGGTCCTAGAAACACACCTGCTTGAGCCAGGTGCTGGTGGCCCAGCTACTCAGGAGGCTGAGAACTGAGGATTGAGGTTCACAGACAGCCCAGCCAAGAACGTCTGGGCTGCAGTGAACCTAAAGTAGAGCTGTGCTCAATGTGGAAGAGTGCTAACCTTGAGCAGCAAGGCTCAGGGACAAGCCTCTGGCTCTGAGTTCAAGCCCCAGGACAGGCAAAAAAAAAAGGCTGAGAAGGTAGCTTAGTGGTAGATGCTTGCCTCACATGTATGAAGCCCGGGGTTCGATTCCTGAGAACCACATAAGCAGAAAATGCAGGAAGTGGCTCTGTGGCTTGAGTGGTAGAGCACTAGCCTTGAGCTGAAGAGCTGAGGGACAGAGCCCAGGCCCAGAGTTCAGGCCCCATGACTGACAGAGAGAGAGAGAGACAGAAAGAGAGAGAGAGAGAGAGAGAGAGAGAGAGGCTAAAATTAAAACCTACCTAGTTGAAACTGCTCAACTAAAGCTAGAGATGCTGACCAGGAATGAGAAGTCAGCGTCCCACCTCCCCCCCCAGTCACCTCACTCCCCAAGCCTTCCATCTTCCTTAGTTCCCAGGATATAAGCAGGAAACCCCAGGGACAGAAGAGCAGGCCTAGAAAGGTACCTGTGGAAAACAGGTGCACCGAGATCAGCAGGGCTGTGGGTTGGTCTGGCCCTTCTGGGTCTCGGATGCAGAAGCCTTTTATAGATCCCGCCCCCTTTTGGTTTGGCCCAGCTCTGTGGTCAGCTGACATCAACATTGCAAGGTCAGTCCTTGGCTTTGGGCCATCCTCTCTCAGCTGAACCTCAGCTACCCTCAGTAACTCGGGAAGAGGTCCAGAGGGCACTGTGGGTCCCTGGGGATGAATGTCCAGTTTCTCAGGGACCAGGCTTGGTGTCAGGACAGGATGCTGAGGGTGTAAGTTAGGCTAGCAGGATCCAGATATGTGTGTGTCTGCCTGCGTGTGCACACATGGACATGTGTGATGGTGCTCAGCACCTTGCCCTCTCTTGGACTTTTTCATTCAAGATTGTTGCTCTCTGGGGCTGGGAAGGTAGCTCAGTGCTAGAGCGATTGCCTTGCATGCATGAGGCCCTGGGTTCGATTCCTTAGCACCACATACACAGAAAAGGCCAGAAGTGGCACTATGGCTCAAGTGGTAGAGTGCTAGCCTTGAGCTGAAGAGCTGAGGGACAGCGCCCAGGCCCAGAGTTCAGGCCCCACGAACCACAAAAAATAAAAATAAACAAAGATTTGTGCTGTAGCCGGAAGCTGGTGGCTGATGCCTGTTATCCTAGCTACTCAGGAGGCTGAGATCTGAGGATTGTAGTTCAAAGACAGCCGGAGCACGAAAGCCTGTGAGACTGTTTTTTTGTTGTTGTTGGTTGTGGGGCCTGAACTCTGGGCCTGGGCACTGTCCCTCAGCTCTTCAGCTCAAGGCTAGCACTCTACCACTGAGCCACCTTCCCAACCCTGTAAGACTCTTATTCAATAAGCCACCAAAAGGCAGAAGTAAGAGGTGTGGCTCAAATGGTAGAGTGCTAGCCTTGAGCTGAAAAGCTGAAGGACAGTGCCCAGGCCCAGAGTTCAAGCCCCACGAGTGATCAAAAAAAAAAGTGCAATGCAGACATGGATAATCACAAGTGGAAATGATCTGTACAACTAGGGGGAAGGGCGATTGGGAAAGGTGGGAAAGGGAGAGAAAAATGAGGGCAGGAGGGGGTAACAAGTTAGACAAGAAATGAAATCACTACGTTACTAATGTAACTGTGACCCCTCTGCACATAACCTTGACTATAGAATAAATAAGTGCAATGCAAGCTGGGCTTGTCATCTGAAGCCTACAACCCTAGCTCTTTGATTGGTGGAGATCGGGGGGGATTGTGTTTAGGGGAAAATCCTGGTTAAAAAAAAAATACAGAGGGCTGGGAAGGTGGCTCAGTGTGTGTGTGTGTGTGTGTGTGTGTGTGTGTGTGTGCTGGGAGGGTGGCTCAGTGTTTGTGTGTGTGTAGGTCCTGGGGCTTGAACTCAGGGCCTGAGTGCTGTCTCTGAGCTCTTGTGCTCAAGGCTAGCAGTTTACAACTTGAGACACACTTGCTTTGTGGAGACTTTCCTACCTGGGCTGGCTCTGAACTCTGATCCTCAGATCTTAGCCTCCTGAGTAGCTAGGATGACAGGTGTGAACCACCAGCTCTCAACTAAGAAGCCCCTCTCCTCTGCCCCTGGCCCCTCAGCCCTCTCCCCTCCCCTCTGCTCTGTGTCCCTGTCCTTGAGCTCCTGGTATTGATCAGGATCACTAAAGGAATCCTAGCCAAAGAGTTTCTCACGCAAAGGCATGCAAACTTTGACCCAGGATTGAGTGTTCAACTCCAGGCCAAGGTCCTCAAACCTCGTGAGCCTGTCAGTTCCTTCTCTGCCCTGAGATTAGTGAGCCCCTGGACCCTTGAAGTTGTGTGGCTATCAGCCCAGCTGATGAGTAATCCAGTGTACCTGCCATCTGTCGTAGAGGCTGGAGACAGAGGCCTAAGCTGTTGTCTGTCCATGGTGCCTTCCTTCCATTGTGGACAGCAAACCAAGCAACATATTGATTTCTTCTGCTCTCTCTGTGTGTGTGTGTGTGTGTGTGTGTGTGCAGATCTTGAAGCTTAAACTGAGGGTCTGGGTGCTGTCCCAGGCTGGTAGCCTACCATTTGAATTGTACTTCCATGTCTGGCCGGTTTTTAGAGCTGAGTCTCATAGGCTGGGATGGTGGCTTAGTGGTAGGGTGCTTGCTAGCATGCATGAAGCCCTGGGTTCGATTCCTCAGTGCCACGTAAAGAGAAGTGACACTGTGGCTCAAGTGGTAGAATGCTTGCCTTGAGCAAAAGAAGCTCAGGGACAGCGCCCAGTGTTAGGAAAATGGAGGAGAACGGAGAAGGAATAGGCTGGACTTGCCAGGGCTGTTCATTGAGGAGCAGCAGGGGCACAGACCTTCCCACGGTTTTGGAGGTTGTGGCCAAGAGTTGGGACAGGAGCTGGGTTTTTATAGGAGGTCCAAGCAAGGAGGTTCATGAAAAAGCCACTAGGTCAAGGAAGGTGGGGACTTTCATAGGGCCCACAATGGGATGTTTACAGCTGGGCTTAGGTGGATTTCCCTGCCTGCACCTGGCTTCTGGATGAGGCTGGGGTCAATCCTTCCTATTCCATCTTTAGATACATAAACTGATTGGGCCAAGAGAGGAGAGGCAAGTTCTTCACCCAGCCCTGAGTTTAAGCCCCAGAACTGGGTCTCATGGCCTTTCCTTCCCGGGCTGGCTTTGAACCGTGATCCTTAGATCTCAGCCTCCTGAGTAGCTAGGATTGCAGGCATGAGCCACCAGCACTAGGCTTGCAAGACTCTTCTCTCCAGTTCCTCAAAATCCCAAAGTGTCACTGTGGCTCAAAGTGGTAGAGTGCTACTCTTGAGCAAAAGAGCTCAGGGTCAGTGCCCAAGCCCCGAGTTCAAGCCCTATAACTGGAAAAAAAAAAGTCTCCTAGATTTTCCTGCTTGGGCTGGCTTTGAACTGAGATCCTTAGATCTCAGCTTTTTTTGTTTGTTTGTTTGTTTCAGTCCTGGGGCTTGAACTCAGGGCCTGGGCTTTGTTCTTCGGCTTTGTTTTAGCTAGGATGACAGTTGTGAACCACTGGCACCATGCCTGGCCTTGCATTCTTGCTTAGTTTTTTTTTTTTTGATCCGGTCATGGCGACTGAACTCTGGGCCTGGGCGCTGTCCCTCAGCTAGGTTATAATTGTGAGCCATTGGCACCCAGCTAAAATGTCTATGTTAAAAAAAATTGTACACATAACCGTTTAAAAAATTTTGGTCTGTAGTGTGTTTGCATGCTTTCATATATCCTGCCTAAGTACTTTGAGATCACTTCCTTAGTGCAGTAGAGAAAACTCTGACCCAATCATCAAGACATTTGCAGGAAAGCTCAGAGACAGTATCCAGGTCCTGATTTCAAGCCTCAAGACTCTCTCTCTCTCTCTCTCTCTCTCTCTCACACACACACACACACAGAAAAGAAAAAGAGGGGCTGGGAAGGTGCTCAGTGGTAGAGCATTTGCCTTGTATGCAAAAAAAAAAAGAAAAGAAAAAGAAACCAGAAATGTGCAGAAAACTTTTACATAAATTAAATAAAAACATTATCTGGAAACTGTGCAAAAACTGGAGTTTTTGAATCTTAAATGAACTCATAGCTCATCTGTGTGTACCTGGGGGAGGGGTGTCCACTTTTGGGAGGGGCTTCCTGGTGGTGAGAAGAGAGCTGTCAATCAAGGGGTGAGGTCCTTGCTGCCTGGCAGTGAGTCTGGAGGACACGTAATGTCACTTCACTGCTGCCCTTCCTCCCACACTGCTGTCTGCAGAGAGGAAGGGAATCACAGCCTCGGATCTGAACATACATCGTCTGACTC